CCCGCCCTGCAAAGAGCTAAGTCTGCAGGGTTAACGTGTGTTGCAGGTGGGACAAATGAGGCACCAACCGATAAGGAGTGTCCCTGCAGCACGGTGACTTCTCCCCGACCTGGAGAGATGGCACTATGTTGCCTGCCTTTCTCTTTGGGTTTCGGATGTGTTGGGCTCGGCTCATGGCGACCTCCCGTATGCCGGAGTAGAACCCGAGCGCCCGTGGGGTTTCAGTGGCTGGGTTTCCCAAAGTAGATCACCAGGCCTTTCTTCCTAGGTACTCTGGGTGACTGTGAACTGCCGCCCTTATGGCTAGCAGGCTAGCACATTCATGGTGCGCACGGCTCCTGGGACCCCATTTGCACAGTGAAGGTGCAATAACCATTTTTAGTCATGTCCCATTTAAGAAACACCCCCCACCCCTCCCCCGCCAGTCCCTGAACATGCCTTGGGTCACTCTCTGCCAGCACCTCTCGTGGGGTAGAATTGTAGGGCTCTGTGACTCTGGCTGGGTGGGTGCCCAGTGGTGGTGCACTGATGGGGAGGAGGGTGGCAGCGCGGGGTACGGTCGGAATTAGGTGGACACAGAGAGGTCCCTTTCCTGGTTTTGACCAACTCCTTTCTTTGGCTGTGTTTCCCAGGAGCCTTCACGTAGATGGGCCCAGTCATGCCTCCCAGTAAGAAGCCGGAAAGCTCAGGAATCAGTGTTTCCAGTGGCCTGAGTCCGTGTTACCGGGGCAGCGGTTTGTCCAAGGCCCTCCAGGAGGACGATGACCTTGACTTTCCTCTGCCTGATCTCCGATTAGAAGAGGGGGCCATGGAAGATGAGGAGCTGACCAACCTTAACTGGCTGCACGAGAGCAAGAACCTGCTGAAGAGCTTTGGGGAGCCGGTCCTCCGGAGCGTCAGCCCCGTGCAGGACCTGGACGATGACACGCCCCCGTCCCCCGCCCACTCGGACATGCCCTACGATGCCAGGCAGAACCCCAACTGCAAACCCCCCTACTCCTTCAGCTGCCTCATATTTATGGCTATCGAGGACTCCCCGACCAAGCGCCTGCCAGTAAAGGAAATCTACAACTGGATCTTGGAACATTTCCCGTATTTTGCAAATGCACCCACTGGGTGGAAAAACTCAGTGAGACACAACTTGTCATTGAATAAGTGTTTTAAGAAAGTGGACAAAGAGAGGAGCCAGGTAAGCCTTGCGTCTGGAACTAAACCTTTGTCTCCGTTCCGAGCGACAGACCCACCTTGACGGTGTGTAAACCCACCATCCTGAAGGAGCAGGTGGCAGGAGACCAACCTCACTGCCATCGAGTTTGAGTCACACCAACTCATAGTGACCCTTAGGCCAGGGTAGACCTGCCCCTGCAGGTTTCCGAGACTGTAACTCTGGAGTAGAAAGCCTTGTCTTTCTCCTGCGGAGCGGCTGGTGCTTTCGAACTGCTGACCTTGCAGTTAGCAGCCCAGTGCATAACCACTGCCCCATCAGGGCTCCTGCAGTTATCTGTAGGCCGTTTGTATTTACTTGGAAGGAAGTTGCTCTCCTGAAACACTCTGAGTTAGACTAGATACTATTTCTGGTCTTCGGGTTGCTTTGCAGATCATTCACCACAGTACCGGTACCTTACCACCAAACACTGGTCTGCGGACTTCCGTTTGGTTCTCATTCCTTAGCACGGACGAGCTACTTTGGTTTTAGTGTCCCAGAAAAGCTGCGTTCCAAGAGCAAGTCACTAACCTGCGTGTGTATTGGTGGAGAGCTCCCACCCAGGGCTGGAGAGAAACGGCACGCCTTTTCTCGCTGAGGATGAGCTGCTGGGAGAAGTGGGTCTTTCTGGGGGTGGATTGCCAGTGCTCAGGAGTAGATGGGCGGTACTGGAGATTGGAGGAAGATGTGAGGAGATAGAGAGACTCCTGAGTGAACAAATAAAGACATGAAGTGCCCAGGGCACTTTCTGTATACTGGGTGTGCGTCTACATATGTGACACCTTTGAAACTCTGGGTGTGAAAAAGTGACAGAGGAAAGAAAGGGTCCTGCCAGACTCTTATTTCCCAAAGCGGGCAGTAACCCCCAGGGAGCTGGGAAAGCAGATTCCTACACTCTATACTGGATGATGGGTATAGGGCGACACTTTGTAATTGCTGAGTAACTTAATTGCCCAGAGGGGTGGGTGGGCATATGTGTTAGATGCTGACTGGCAAAGTGGTCACATCTTGGGCTTTTGCAGCCTTAGCTCGGGCCTCCTGTTCAGCTAAAGCCACCTCATGGACAGTTGAGTCGATTCCGACTCACAGTGACCTTCTTAGAACAGAATAGAACCATCTCTTGGGATTTGGGGGACTAAATCTTAATGGGAGCAGACAGCCTGATCTTCCTCCCGCATAGAATCTGGTGGATTTGAACTACTGACTTTCCAGTTAGCAGCTGAGCACGCATAGCCCCATATATCACCAGGGCCTAACACGTGGCATTCCGCTTCTTTCAGGAACATAAGGTACATAATGGAAGGAACCCTGGTGGTGTAGTGCATTGTAAGTTGGACTCCTAACTCTAAGGTCAGCAGTTTGAAACCACCAGCTGCTTCTTAGGAAAACAGAACAAAACAAACAACAGAAAGCAGGGCTTTCTACTTCCGTAAAGAGTGATAGTCTCAGAAAGCCTCAGGGGCAGTTAGTTCTTCCTTGCAGGGTCTCTGAACTGGCATCGACTTGAGGGGAATGAGTTTGCGTTGGGTTTGGTCGGAGCTGGAACAAAACATGATCAGGTGCTGAGTTTTCAGAAGGAGTGTTACCGGAACACATACACATCTCCATTCACCCCCCCACCCCCAAAAGATTTCCCATGTTGCTTTGCCTGTTAGCTGCTACAGCGTGCTTTTGGAAGTTCAGGTTCAGTGTTGGGACCACTATTGATTGTGTGAACTCCGAGACTAGGCAGGGCTGTACCCTCTCGTTTCTTTCTCTCCAGAAGCGTGTTTCTGGGTAGATGTGTGCTCTTGGGAAAGCCCTCTTTACTCACCTTTGGCGCTGAGGCATGCAGATAAAGCAAGTGCCCGGTCCTTTTGCTCTGATTGGACTGTCTGCTGATGCTGGGTACCCAAACTTTGCATTTGAGGGGAGCCAGGGATCAGGCTCAGGGAGGAGCGCTGCTTGGGGAGAGCAGAGACGTGGACGCCCACCAAGGAGCTTTACCTTTGGTTGCTGGTGCAGATAAGGTCCAAATCAAAGGTGCAGGTGGAGGGTTCATTCGTATGCTGGAACTCTTCCCCAGGTCCCCATTGATAGGTGCTGGTGGTGACACAGTGACAAAGTGCCTATGGCTCTTCATTAAGGAGAGGGAGTCCCGGGGACCGAGGACTCTGCTGCCCCACTTGACCGCTCTCCTTCCTCTTCCTCCCTGCTCTGGCCACTGGAGGTATTTGCAACCTCACCTTCTGATGTGGGCCTGCCCAACGAGTTCGATCAGTCTGAACACAGAGATCCCCCGCCCTGCAAAGAGCTAAGTCTGCAGGGTTAATGAGCATGTCTGTCTTCCGGGTCCCCCAAGCCACATGTCACCGAGCTCACCGGACACGCGTTTTCATTTGCTCTGAGGTGGTTCTGCAGATTCCCACTTGCCGGGGTTGGCAGGATGTTGGAGCACACCAAAGCTCTGAGACTAGTGTGTGGCCAGGCCTGGAGGATCACCCATCAGCATCAGAGGCACCCGCAGCACACCCCACCCCTGATTCTGGACTTCAAGCTTTCTGGGATGCCCTGTGTCCACCAAATCTATTACTGTCTGATCAACAGCGGCTACTTCTTGAGACGCTAGCTGCTTGTTGCTCCCTGGTTACTGGCACTGCTCCCACCACGCCCTGGGCATTAATGTCCTCTTCACTCCCTGGGCGCTGGCGCTGGCCCATCCTCTCCCTGGGTTCTGGTGCTGGTCCCTTTCCACCGGCGGCGGTGGGGTGGACTCTGCCCCAGGTGGCTAAGGAAGGAAGGCAAAGGCATTTCCATTGATTCTGTGCCCAGCAAAAGCGCCTTCAGCTCTGTGGGGAGCTGCGTTTTCTTCCCCAGGGGATTTTACTTGGTGTGGCTCCTGCACGCAAGTTGGGCACAGGTGACTCCGTGCAGCCTCCTGTGGGTGAGGCCATGTGTGGGGGAAGGGAACCGTGAGAGGGCACCCCAGTGAGCGCCCCAGCCCGCGGGGTGGGGTCGATCCGTGTGGTGGAGCAGGCGTCAGCCCTAAAGAGACTGCAAGTCCTATGCACAGGCCGCAGCCAGGCTCTGCGTGCACAGTCAGTCCCGGTGCTCTGCGATCCCTCGATCCCTCGTACACGAGCTGCGTGGACAGAGGCAGCTTTCAGTTGCTATTGCCTGGGGAGGGCGGCGGCGGGAAGCTGCTGCCAGACGGGGACTTGGTGTCTGTCTGGGGCCATGAAGGCTTGTTGGAAGTAGATTGTGGTGATGGTTGTAAAGCCTGCTGAATAATGAATACCACTGAATTGGGTATTTGAAGACGGTTAAAAGGGCTGTCGATCAGGGAGGCTGTCGATCTTGCTCCCTGGAGTTGGGACGCGGGCTCTGCTGGCGGGGCGGCTGTTTGGCTGGGACGCTGGGAGGAGGTGTGTACTGATTGCATCAGGCTCACCTGTGGCAGGTAAAAACAGCCACCCTTTCTCAGGCCCCGCCCTGCAGACTGATTCAGCAGCTTTCAAGGGGACCAAGGAGGGCTGTTGGGGAGAGGAAGTCCCACGGGCAGCTTCTCTGTGCAGCCGGGTTTGGGAGTCCCTGAGGCCAGCGTTTACACTCCAGCCGAGTGAGCGAGCGCAAGGGCGAGTTACTCGGGAGAGCACGACACCCCCCCCACACAGGTCCTGAGAGTACCAGAAGGAACCTGTGGATCCCTCACCCCTTCAGCCCACCCCCAGGCTCAGTAACTTACGGGGCGGCACCCTTCTTTCTTGGTGTTGCAGTGATCTGAGGGTTTTGAAGCAAATCCTAGAGTGTGTCCTTGCACCCAACACAGTTCTTGGTGTGTGTGTGTGTGTGTGTGTGTGTATGTGTGTGTGTTTGAACACAGTGCCATTTCTTGCCTGACCACAATGCCAGTGTCACTTTTAAAACTCCACACGGTTGTTTGGCGGTCACTTAATACATGCACACAAGGAGTTGCTGATTCCGATACTTGGTGACCTCACGTAAGTCGGGGTCGGACTGTGCCCCTGAGGGGCTTCAGTGGCTGATATTTAGTAGGTCACCAGTCCATTCTTCCGAGATGCCTCTGGGCAACCTTTAACCTCCAGCATTCCAGTTAGACAGCTGAGCACACTAGCCACCCGTGCCACCCAGACGACTCCAGTACACCATGTGCAGATGCCCGAAGACCTGGCTGACCCACTCCTAGGGGTGCTGAGATGGAGCTCCAGAGTCCTGGAGTCTTGGCCTTACCCTCGCTGGGCCAACTTTTCCCATCAGCCTTTTATCTCCTGGTTTCCTGTATTGGTGATCTCTCTGAGTTCATCGATGTTGGAGCATTGGTGTCTGGAATTAAGGTTGCTGCAACCTTACTGTGGTTGTGAGGAGCCGTGGTGGTACACAGGCTAAGTGCTGAGCAGCGAACTTGAAGGTTGGCAGTTCGATCCCACTCACCACTCTGCTGGAGAAAGACGTGACAACGTGTGACCTAAAGATGTCTAACCTTGGAAGCCCCACGGGGCCGTTCGGCCTGTCCTATGGGGTCCTGTAGCGTCCTTGGGGGTCGGAATCTACCTCTCGGCATTGGGCTTTAGGGTTTGGGTTTGCTTTAGCCAGGGCTCTTGGTTAGGGCCATGAGACTAGTCTGTAATAATCTTGCTGAGTACTGTAAGTCAGAAGTCAACAACAGGTATCTTTTTATAGGCGGATTCAAAAGGCTCAGGTATGCGTTTCTTTAAGTCTCCTCTTTTGCCACTCTCATGAACAACATTTTGTCATAAGAGGCTTTATAAAGGAAACACTGTACGAAAGTAGCTTTATTAGACCCAGGAGCTGAGTGCTTGCAATACAATTGTAGCCGATAAATAAAGGCAACCTGTCTCATCGGAAAGAGGAAGCCAGGGCACCTGGTTCTTGTTTGGATGCTGCCAGTACCTGGCTGCCTGTCTAGCTGTGTTCCTGCCTCTCCAGGGAAGCAGGTTGTTCCTTGGGGCTTTTTAACCTGGGTG